CGGTAAACTGGAGGTCGGGTGTTCGATCCCTGCATTGGCTGAGAAAGATCCCCCTTGTCAGTGGTGCAGGGCAGAGGGCCTGGCAAGGGGCAATGTATAGTCATTCAGATAGGACGAAAAACCTTTGGCAGTTGGAATTCGATATAAGAGTAGGCGGCAGTTCCGCTGTCCGGGCAAAATCTCCCTCATAGCACACTGTATGGCGAAAGCCCGTCTTCATTATTAGCTCAGTCGGAGCAGAACAGTTGGACGTAAAACCCCATTTAATTTCATGTCTTTTCTCTGTACTAGAATTCAATAAAATACGATTTATCAACGGTTTTCTGATTCCCAGTTCGGCTACAAAACGTGCACTGTGAAGTACATCTAGATATCTATGTGTGCTAAAAATTCACTAAACCTATACGAAATTTGCTAAAGGACATTCTGATTCAGTTTACAGTTCGCCTACAAAACATGCCCTGTGAAGTTCACCTAGATATCTATGTGTGCTAAAATTCACTAAACTTATACGCATGTATGTAGGACCTGCCTTTTCGGCCGATCCGGCCGATCCGGTTTCCAGCATGACTACAAATTGTGGTTATTACATCTGTAACGTTCTGGATCCGTGTACAATGTTGAGTTCCACTTGAACCACACGAAGGTAAACAATTGAGCGCTGAGTTATGTCATATGTCTTAGCCTGGACGTTTGAAAGCAAGTGTTTATAACCCCAACGTTGGGGTTAATTACATGCATGCTCGCTCAATTTTCATATCACACTTTCTTTTACATTTATTTTACCCTTCTTCGTCAACATCTTAAGTAATATTACAGTAATATTACATTCGACACTGCTTCATTGGTTTGTGATCGTATAATTTACAGTGCGCTGGGTTTAGACAACTCCATGTTAGAATTTAAATAACAAAAGTTAGCATTGCATGCAAGAGAGCGTGAACTAGGGTTTAACGCCCACTCGACACAAACTAGTTCATTCCGGAACTAACTTTTGATTCAGTTCGATTTCAATAATTTGCTTGTGCGTAGGCGTCTTTAGATGTGGGAGGAAACCGGAGAACCCAGAGAAAACCCACGGAGATGGAGAGGCGCCTATACCTCTTGTCACGTACAAGCGGGGAATCGAAACCACGTCACTTGACTCAATGATAGACCTTATAATTTCACCCAAACCACATATTTGCATGCACAATGAAAATTCGATCCCGGTGTTGGTGGGGAAATTCCTATGGATTTTCTAACGTTTTTCCTCTGCTGCAGGACAAAGGACCAAACATCGTCTAGTCCTTCAGATGATATGACAAGCCGAGGTCCCGTGTACACATTGGTGTACAATTAAACTAACTCTGGACAGTTGGAATTCAAATTAAGAGTAGGCGGAAACCCCACTGTCCGGACAACATTTCCATCACTAGCCCGGTTGGCATAGAAAAGTATGGCGTTAACCCACAAGAGTAGACCGCTGTGCCGCTGTCTGGGCACAATTTTTCTGACAATCAACCCCATGTCATTTCACTTCAAGCCATTATAACTGGAATTATCGGTCAGACATATGTATGATATTTAACAGGAAAGACTGGCATATGGAGTAGACATACTTCAAGATACAATTGCATTTTAAATTTACCTTATTATTTGTGTGTTTCTTTCAGACAGTTTCTTGTTTTCTTAATTATAAAATGTACAGTAATATTAAAGATACATTATGGGAGATTTTAATATAGAGTTGGTCATTCTTGCTATAACAGTTCAAAAATGGATGATGAAAGAAGAATATATTGAACATTTCAGTCAAATTACTTTATTCCGAACAAAGTTATCACCATTGTAATTTTTGACTAGAAATAGGAGTCAACTCTCTCTTCACGGTCTCCGAGAATGGCCGATCGTTTGATTGACAGGCGTTAACTCCACCTACATAATCTCGATTATCAAGTAATGTTTTCAATGCCTATGGTACCGTAAGCCTATTCGGTTTGAGGCGGGGTTGCAATTCAATTCGTATAACATTTATTTTTACTACAAATTAAAAATAAGACTTTTAATATATAGATAAGAAGCGAAAGTTTGAAAGGAATGGACCAAATCAATGAGGCATAATTATAGCCGACTTCTTGTTAGCCAGCGTGTACTCTTGTACTGTAACTGGTAGGCCTACGTAATTCCCGAAGCAGACAAATATAGGGAACAGTTATCCAATGGGGCTGCAATTCAACTGGGATGATGTTATCTGCGATGTTTATCAATTTCCATAATTTTTCTGTAAACACAAGTGACAAAAGAGCTTATAATACCGACATCCAAACTCTCATTTTAACCACAACTAAACATAATATCATAATATATCGAACTTTCAATCAAATTGACTGACATGCGGCCTCGCTCAACAGCGGCCTCGCTTCGTACACTCTATCATTTAGCCCCGATCTAAAATTTCCGGGAGTTTGACGTCAACGTAACGGTTAATCTCCGCTTACGACGCCATTTAAAAATTTAATCAATCAATGAAATCCCGTTTAAATCCAAGCCGAATCCAAGTCATCCGTGGGTCTACAGAGTTGATCTTGTGCTTGTTGTGTAAATAAAGATCTAATTTATAAGCCTAAATAAAGACTTGCAATAATCAAATTTAGCTCTTGCATAATGCATGTTTAAACTAAAGGGTAGCGTTGGCCGAGAAAGTTGGTCTGGGTTTCCAGCGTGGTTTCCCCTTGTCAGTGGTGCAGAATGGAGGGTCTAGCAAGCTGTCTAGTCGTTCGGATGAGACGACATCCAGGGGTCCCGTGTACATATTTGCGTGCACGTAAACGATCCCTTGGAAGTTGGAATCCGATATAAGAGTAGGTCCCTCATAGAAAACTGTATGGCGCATGTCCGTCTTCATTAGCCCAGTCGGCGCAGAGCAGTAGGACGTTAAACCCCATTTGATTTGATTTGATTTCATTTAAAAGGTAGCCGACTGAAGATTCAGTTTGCTTTAGATTATTTGATAAACGTACATCTTGATTTATCAATGTTTAGATACTGCCAATAATTGTCGCAATTATTGTCTACAAACACTGTTTACAATTTTATGAGTTATCTGGTAGCAAGCCCCACATCCCCAACCTATTTGTCTGTGAAAGAAAAGCTGGTTTTACGTCTATTTATGTACACCAACAGAACTAATTAAGACGGGTATACGCCAGGCATTACGCAATAAATGAAATATTTCCAGAATTGGAACTGTTATTATGTGACCATCATCGGGAAGGAACCCCGGACCTATTGGTTAGTTAGCTCGAACCACGCTCACCGAGCCATACACTCTTAAGACCAACTAGAAATCAGCCTGATTTCTTCATGTTTAGGAATTTGACCTCAAAGATAATGGAAGTTTGTTGAAGAGAATCCTGTCATCAACTTCTCAAAGATAATAAATTGTCGCCCAATTATTATCTATTTAGATGGTGCAGTGTATAAGTGTCATATTACACTGCTCTATATTTAGAATATAAAAGCTAGATGATTTGGAGATCAGGTTCTGTGGGATTTTCAATTGAAATTAAAATTAAAATTGAATAAGAGAATAAAAGAAAATAATCAAATTGAATGTAGAAATAAACAAATTTAATAACAATTTAATATAATAATTATATCATGAAAATAAAATTGATTCAAATATTACATAAAGTAATAATTAGCTTATTTAATTAGATGTAGCATCTTGTTTTAGCCAGGGTATACAAACATAAATTTCAAATTTAAACCAAATCGGCTAAAAATTATGACCTCTACACTGTTCACGAGCTCAAAACGTAATATTTCGTACAATCGGGGGCCATAATCCATGAAGTTACAGTCCGATACATGCCAATATCGAAAGGAACCGAGATCTTAGGGGGATTAACCTATATTTCAAGTTTCATTGAAATTGGATAAAATTTGTGTCCTGTAGAGTGTTCACAAACAATTGTGGACGTCCGGACAGAGCCGACGACAATATACGTCCACATGAAAATGTCAGCGTATAAAAATGGATTCAAATATTACATAAAGTACCGGTAATAATATGCTTATTTAATGAGATGTAATATCTAATCAGTTGATAACTATCTGGCAGTCATTATCAGAAATCGTTGAAAATCAACAGGCTTCTTCGTCTGATGACCTTAAAGACTGTGTATATATTTAAAGTCAATCGGATATTAACTTTAGCCCCTAGAGCGTCCACCAGATTTTTCAAAGTGATAAAGGGCGATATATGTAACTCTGGCAGTAATTATCGGAATTTGGTGAAAATCAATAGGATTCTTTGTAAACACGGATATTAATTTAAAGTCAATCAGATATTAAATTTACCTCTAAAGAGACCACAACCTTGTATTACATACTTTTAGGCTATTCTTCAAGTGTCATATTGAGTAATTTGTATATAATAGTGTTAAGCTGTTATCTATCAACCTCATCATCGATAATAAATATGATTTATATAAAAAAGAGCTTTTTATTTTAGAAATTAAACTATCAACACTTATCTAACTGGACTATTTATATCAGCAATAATGCCACTCAGGTTGGACATATTGTTTAGATTAGCATTCCAGGCAATTAAAAATCAGTGAACCGGGCCAAACCCAAACATCCAAAATTTAGCTCTTTTTTCTAGATGGTCTTAGGACTGCATACCGAAGTTAGCGATATCAAGTATTAATCGAATATTTGAGATAATTGCTTATATTAGGTCCATTAGGATAGTGGTATTAGGTGTTCCAGGAAGAGTTAACATACCCCGTCTCATGAACATCACCCGTTGCTACTTATACCTAATTTATTCCCTTTTTCTTGGAAAGGAACCAAGGAATTTATCTTAAAAATAAAGGTAGGACAGACGGAATTATCTATTGCTTCTGTTGTAAGGTCGCGTAATCTTAACAAAGCCACACGAGGAGGACACGGCACACTGAGAGAAGTATAAAGCAAATTGGTAAGCACATATTTTCTTTTTTTAATTTCAGTATGGTTTTGTTAATCACGCTTTGGAGCTTCTGGTTCTCAGGAATTTTGGAGAAGAAAAATGGGAGCTGATCAAGTAAGAATGCAAATTCTTTTATTCTTCCTAATTTAAATAACTGTGTTTTTATTAACAAGCTTGACTTCTGTCCAGTAAAAAATCATTGTTCAGAACTAAATAAAAAAGTAATGTAATTAAATGAACCCAAAAATACTCGGGAAAATGTCGTATCCGAGCTTTCTTTTTGAAACTAATTATGTAATCCAATAGAACAGATAACATTTACTTACTACATTCACCTAAAAGTTGTTCCGATAACAAAAAATAGTCCGTGATAATTGTAAATTGACAAGCGCTTTTTTTTCTTCTGTTGTTTTATATTGCAAATGCACCCTGCTGCTTTCTAGACCTTTGTGGATTCTTTTCAGACAATTGTATTTTAAATAATTAACGACGTTTCGCTAATTGCTTTCCAACAGCACACTATCTCGTATCGATGAAAAAGCCGAACTTCCGTTGGGACACGTCATTATACAGTCGACAAAAAGGTAAACGCACGTTTCAAGATCAAATTATGGTAACAAAACGTGTCAGCATCGAAAAAGATTTGATGAAAGTAGAAACACTAAAATGAAATGGTAAATAATGACTTGTTACACCGCTCAATAACACGTCGTTATGTTATTCGCTAACGGAGAACTGTTACGGATAAACATCGTTAAATAATTATCCCAAGAAGAACGGTTTACTGATAAAATACACGACGTCACTATCAACGAAACCTTTAAAATAATTTCTCTCGGCTCAGTCAATTAAAAAACGTTGGTGTCAGAATTACACCCAGCTCTTTCCTAATTAAGGGAAGAAAATTGGACGTATTATCTGCAAATGCATTTATATACGTCCTTAACGTCCTTAAGATAAATTGCATTCTGGCTGAGATTGTCCATGGCTGTCAACTTTGCGAGACCTGTATCTCGCCTTCGGGAAGCTCGGGGTATTCTAAACAAGTATTAATATTACTAAATGGACGGTTTAAATTGGTAATTAAACATTTGTTACGAAATAGTGTCTTTCTAAGGTCATTTGGGAACGGTGCCATATTGACCATAATTCATATGAGTATATAACGCTGGCATATACGAACCTTATTCGATCTTATCATTAAGTGAGACGTTTCCTCGGGACTTTGCGCCCTTGTCGGTCGCGCAGAACGGAGGGTCTGGCAGGAAGAAATACCACTCAGTCGATCGGTTGGAAAGAAAAATAGTGGTTCCATGTAAACTATAGACAGCATGACAAAGATCCCCTTTGTAGGCTTTCGTGTGTATAAAATGGTTAAACGGGTGAGCATCGCATAACAAGATAGTACACTAATATTTCGATATGGCGGCCATTCAGGACAGATATCTAATCACAATGTAGAGAGTTCATTGTGTACATAATGCATCTACTTGTGCGTGCCGTCTTATGTATAAACATGCACCCATCCCGTATGTGATAATATGAAACAAAACCAAAGATAAACTGGCAGAAACATGAACTTGATAGATTGTTTTGTTATTGCCCGTGTTTCATTGCCCAGACAAAACTCGGCGATTAAAATACAGTCTGATCATCAACTGCTTGGGTAGTTTGCCCAAAACATACTCGATTTGATGTCAGATGATAACAGAGTTGTAATCCAATCTGTTAACAATATTGCACAGCTATCAGTATCATTCTCAATAACAATCACTGGTGTTGACTGTTGCCAACTGTAAACATCCATCAGTCTATGCATATTTACCAAAACGATTCGAAAACGATCGGCACTCGTCATCAATTCACACGGCCACTCTCAAGAAACTAACACATGCATTAGAGTGTTTGATGACTAAGCGAATATTTATTGAATTACATAAATATAAATGAAATGGGGTTTAACGTCCTACTGTTCTGCGCCGACTGGGCTAATGAAGAAGGGCATAAACCATTTGAGGGAAATTTTACCCAGACAGCGGCGCTTCGGCCTACTCTCATATCGAATTCCAACTGCCAAGGGCCCCTTTCGTTCACGCCAATGTGTAACAGGAACTGACGAGGAGGAATCACGCCGGAAAAAACCCGATGAACTTTCCAAGCCAACACCAGGATCGAACACGGGACCTCCAGAATAGCGAGCCAAAGTCTTACTCACTGAACCACTGCGGCTCCCTAAATAAATAGAAGACAAGCGATTAAATGGTATTAGACATATCTCAAATTATCAACACAGGGTATTTCGCTGTGAAATCTGCGGTAGTTCTACATATCATGCTTGGTATTTTTAAATATGCAAAATGTTAGAAAGTCCTCAAGCCTCATATTCCACCCTTTCGAAACAAAGTGATTAGCATTAATATTTGAACAGAATAAAAAATAATTTATCAAAAAATATTATGGAAAAAAAAAACGAAACTCGATCATCATATCGCAGTTATCTATTTTTCACCATTTGCCTTTCGCACTTTTCTGCGGTTCAAAGGCACCATACGAGAACATTCTGTTTAAAATGAAGTTCCACTCGACCAACCTCGTGTCATTGAGCATATTAATTCTCCAGGCAATGATGCTGGAAACATCCAATAAAGAAAGTAATATTGCTCATTAATCATAGGCACCATGGAACCATCGACAGGATTTTTTTATTAATATTAGCTGATATGACATGTTGGAAACCGAGTTTGAAAAAGTGTTTCAAACTCACCTCGAATCCCCCCTCCCCCTTAGAAAAAAATCCAAGAAAATCAAAAAAAAGGAGAGGTGTAATGTATGAATGTTATTACTAGGACAATAATTGGAGCAGAGAGAGGGAGAGAGGGCGGGGTATGTAAATCGCCTGAAAGCTCGTTTGAACTAGTCGTGCATATGGGGTGAAATACAGTGTCCCAGTGTACATAATGTTGTGCACGTAAAGGAACCATCAAACCACACTGCATGGCGCACATCTCTCTTTAATAACCCCGTTGGTTCAGAATTATAAGATATTAAACTGCATTTCATAACTACTCGTTTACCCAATAAAAACTCGTTCTCGTAAATGTCAATTCGACTCTTGTGCAAGTTCGGGATCCAGAGTTTGAAATAGTTAATTTCTTATGTCAAATATTTCGTTTCAGTTGGAGGTAGAAATGGCGTTTAACATTTGTCGATTTATGCCAGAATAGTTTTTAGGAAACGAGTTTTTCTTTTCATTATTTATGTCTCAAGCTTTAACCATTTATAAACTGACGAACACTCAAGTTCTGTGCATAAATCATTGTATTATTTCATACAAAAGCCTGACAACGTCATAAACATTGTCGGCGAAAAAAATCATGATGCAAACATGGCAACTTTGGTTTGAAAGTCCATAATGATAAATAATTAATCTGACATTTTGCTGTTAGGAATTATTTTCCAAAATAAGTATGAGCTAAAGATTTTTAATTGTTATTTATTACCTGAGAGCTTTGAATAAAATATAAATTCCAGAAAATGTTTTAATTGGGATAACATTTTTGTCATTTTGATATATATAAATATGTTTTATTCTGACAAGGAATCTATAATACACGAGATATAAATGTTCCAGTGACATATGTAAGTTGTGTTTGTAGTTAGATATTATGCAGTAGTGTATTTATTAATTTTTAAACGACACATTTGCTCTTTCTGGCCAGGGAGTCACGGTGGCTAAGTGGGTAAGACGTTGGCTCGCTAGCCTAGAGGTCGGGTGTTCGATCCCTGCATTGACCGAGAAAGTTCATCCGGATTTTCCGGCGTGGTTCCCCCTTGTCAGTGATACAGAACGGAGGGCCTGGCAAGGACAGCTGTCTAGTCATTCGGATGGAACGATAAACCGAGGTCCCGCGTACACATTGGCGTGCACGTAAAAGATCCATTGACAGTTGGAATTCGATATAAGAGTAGGCCATAATGCCGATGTTCGGAGCAGAACAGTAGGACGTTCAACCCCATTTCATTTTATTTTATTTCTTTCTGACCACTGCTAAAGATTCCTACGCGCAAGCAAAATATTGAAATACAATTGAACAATGTTAATCTCTCTCATTTGGTAAAAAAAAATGTTTTAGGCTATGACAAAATATAACGCATTAGCTCCTTCAGGTCTTGGTTGGTAAAAAGCTAGACTTTAAATACTTCATCTGTCTTAGTCAAGTTAAGCCTTCAATACCACACCAGTCTTAGTGAAGTTAGGCCTTCAATACCACACCGGTCGTAGTTAAGTTAGGCCTTCAATACCACACAGGTCGTAGTCAAGTTAGGCCTTCAATACCACACTGTTCGAACAGGTCACAGTAAAGTTATGTCTTCAATACCACACCTGCAGTCTTAGTCAAGTTAGGCCTTCAATACCGCACCGGTCGTAGTTAAGTTAGGCTTTCAATACCACACTGGTCTTAGTCAAGTTAGGCCTTCAATATCACACTGGTCGTAGTAAAGTTAGGCCTTAAATACCACACCGGTCGTAGTAAAGTTGGGCCTTAAATACCACACAATATTTTGATTTAAACAGTATTTTTATTCTTACACGAATATAATTTAGCAACAGGCTAGAAGCCTGTATCAGCTCTTTCCAAAGATACGAAACTCAAGTTAGTTTTTAAATACCACACAGGTCTGAGTAAACTTAGTCATTATATACCACACAGGTCTCAGTCTTAGTAATGTTAGTATTTCAATACCGTCCAGGTCTAATCAGTATGTTGGCGTTCACGTTAGAGATCCCTTGGCAGTTGGAATTCGATATAAGAGTAACCCGTAGCGCCGCTTTCCGAGCAAAATGTTCCTCACAGCACACACTACATGGCGTATGTCCGTCCACTGGCAACCTTTGATAAAACTGTCCTGTTTAATTGCAATACAAGCTTAAAAGTATCCATGTATCAGAAATGTACAGAAAGAGTACTGATCATTTCTGATACACGGATACTTTTATACCGTTTTAGATATCTATCAAGCAATAAGTAGCGGACGTTTAGTCCGACCAAGATCGCAATTGATAACGAGGCTCTAACCAATGTACATGAAACAACTAGTCAAAATCATAGTAA